CTTCATGCTCGGGACATAGAGTACGTTTTCAATCGTCCCCTCTTGTCCATTCTTTTGTAGAAATTTAACCTTTCCTCGGCCTTTGATAACTACTTTTGATGTATCTCCAAAAGATACATTTCCTCCCTCAGCCTCCTTCAACTCAGTGAATAAATGTTTATAACCACTCATGTGGTTGCTCGCCCCGGTATCCAAGTACCACGTAGCGTCGTCTGTTAAGCTTCCTTCTTTGTGTGCTAGTAAGAGCACCCCTTCCTCATCTCCATCATCATCCTCATGCTCAGCAACATTTAGATTCTCCTCCGGTTTTGGTTTCGACCAACAGTCTCTTGCGAAATGTCCCCGTTTCCCGCAATTGTAGCATTCCCCATCGGGTCTGCCTCCCCGACCGCCTCGGGCAGCTCCTCTGCCTCGGCCTCTCCAGGTCGGGCGATGTTGGTCCTCCCGGTTCTGATGGGTATTCTCCTCTCGGTTGTAGTCTCCTCTTCCTTGGCCCCGACCACGGAAGTGACCTCGGCCTCGGCCTCTCGGTTGATGGGCATACATTGCCTTCTCCTCTACCACCACAGTTTGTAATGCCTCTTCAAGCGATTCTAGCCGCTTCATCTTTCTTTGTTCATGCGCCTCCAACGACCCCGACAGGTCGTCAATGGTAAGCGTCTCAATATTTCTAGCTTCTTCGATTGCGCATACCACGTTCTCGAATTTGTCCGTAAGTGTTTGTAAAATGTTTTCTACTATCCGACTCTCACTTACGGTTTCACCATTTCTCTTCATATGGTTTGCTATGGTCATCACCCGATTAATGTACTCGGTGACCTTCTCGTTCTCTTTCATCCGCATAGTCTCCAACTCTCCTCGTAGAGTTTGCAACCTCACTTGCTTTACTCTTTCCCCTCCTTTGAACACTCTTTCGATGATGTCCCAAGCTTCTTTTGAAGTTTCGGCATCGGCTATCTTCTCGTGGATGGTGTCATCCACTGCTTGAAGCAACCAAAACAGTGCCGTTTGGTCCTTCTTTTGTGCTCCTTCGAGTTCCACTTGTTGGGCAACCGTCAAGACGGTTCCTTCCTCCGGTGTTGTGTAGCCATTATCGACAACATCCCATACTCCTTGTGATTTCAACAGTGCTCTCATTTGAGCATTCCATCGGTCGAAGTTTGCTTTCTTCAATTGAGGTAGTTGGCAGAACATGGTGGCTGCCATCTTCTTCTTCAACATTGGCTCTGATACCAATTTGAAGGCCCCAAATATCCGAAAAATATTCTAAGTGTTTGGCTAACTTACAACTCAAAGGAATGGAGGAGAATGTATTATATTCCACTTGATAGAACATTACAATTGGTGGCCTTATATAGGCATTACAAGTGGAGTAAAATAATCCCTAGGAAATACAATTTACCTTTCCAAGAAGACCTTTCATCTTTCCAATAAAAGTAGGGAAAGATAATTTATGTTCCCTAGGAAGTAAACTAATTAAGATTAATTAATTAATCCCAACATCCCGTACTCCTCTTTGGGCTTAAGAATAAATGAGCCAATACCTAACACATTCTCCACCTCATTGGACCCTAGTGGTGGACAAACAAAGCTCTAATACATATTTGAGACTCATCATCGCTAGATTACCTGAATGGTCACACTGACACATTACAGACAAAAAGAGGGAAAACTCACCAAGCAACTATCCGCTGTCAATTTTTAACGTGCGTTTGCACGATAGTAGTTTTTCGACAGAGAGACATTTAGTCCCCATGTCTGCAGGATTAAACTCAGATGGAGTTTTAATCAACTTGATATAACATGCACTAATAATATCACGGCTAGAATGAAATCTAACATCAATGTGCTTATTTCTATCATGAAAAACAATGTTTTTGCAAATTTTATTAGTAGATTGACTATAAAAAACAAACAAATGTCCTGTTTAAGACTACCAATCTCCGTTAGGAGACACTTAAGCCAAATGGCTTCCTTAAATGCTTCGGTAGCGGCCACATACTCAGACTCAGTAATGGAAATGGCTACTATGAGTTGAAGTTGAGACTTCCAACTAATGCAAGACCCACAAAAAGTAAACACATAAGAAGTAGTCGATTTCCTATTGTCTTTATCATTAGCAAAATTAGAGTCCACATACCTGTTGGAAAAATGTGTTAAAAATTGCATTAAATGGTCATTTTGGGGCAATTATTTGAGTGGGGTCCACTTCCGATTTGGGTCGGGTCAAAGTGGTTTCGGATTGTCCTTGTTAAGGGCTACAATTCGATATATGGTACGCTCAAAACGGATAACGGGTGAATGAGAAATTGATTCTCGAAGTTCGCTCGTTGTAATGGAAAAACTGGGAAAATGATGAGTTTCTAGTGTGTTTTATCCCACACCGAAAAACTCAAGGGATTTTCACCCCCTTTTAAAGGGAAGCCTCTTTTAAGGAGTTAAGATTCCTAAAGGGAAAGGCTCTCTCTTACGTGCAGGGGGGGTGCCGATCAAATCCCGAAACGGAGAAGAAAAACCGCGACTCGTGTGCGCGGGCGACTTGCGGACACGAATGCCGTCCAAAAATCTATCTCTCAAGAGATACGGTTAATTTTTGTTTTCTTCCCGAACGTTTAATTTTTTCCCAGAAGTGCTCCGGACAGAAGGCCTCGAACAGAAACCCTCCAAGGGAGTTCTGTTGGCTTCGGACAGAAGGCCTCGAACAGAAACCCTCCAAGGGGGTTCTGTTGGCTTCGGACAGAAGGCCTCGAACAGAAACCCTCCAAGGGGAGTTCTGTTGGCTACGGACAGAACCCCTCCAAGGGGTCTTCTGTCAGGGTCTTCTGTCACGCATTTCTTCCGTTACAACAATTAATGCCCAACGTTCTTCTCTTTTAATGCAACGTTAAATGGACAGTTTATGGACGATTCAATGCCCAACGGACTGGTCATTGATGTCCAACGTTCAGGTCCATTAACACCCCATTTAACTCACAACAAATCCTCCTATAAATAGCTGGCAGGTGCTTTGCAACAAACACACGGTTTGACAACGCACAACACTTTCCTCACGTTTTCTTGAGCTAAAAACTCTTCCAGCTATTCCCAAACTTCCTCTGTGTTCATACTTGGTTCTCGTTCGCTGGAACTCTTGTTTGTGTGCTCAAACACTAGTTCGTAGTCATCGTATCCTGGGAAACGATTGTTGCAACGCTTCTAGCACCGTGGGAGGCAACAAATACGTTTTAAGGAAATCGTGCGTAGCACGAGCTTTGGCTAATTCTGCTTCATCTCTTTTCTTGTTTTTCTCTAGTCATTTTATTTAATTAATTTATTTTAATTAATTTTCTTTATTTTCCGAAACACACCCAACAATACCTACTCAACTTAATACCCTCAGAATACCCAGTGAAAATCAACCTATGATTAACAGTAGATTTCAAGTACCTAAGCAACCACTTAAGAGCATTCCAATGAGGTAAACCGGGGTTAGACATATATCTACTCAAACAACTAACATTATAGCAATGCCAAGTCTAGTACTCACCATGAGATACATCACGGACCCAATATCATTGGAATAAGGCATAAATTTCATTTTAGCAATTTCAGAAGAAGTCTTAGGAGATTGATCCTTACTTAACACAAAGTGAGACGCTATAGAGATAGATCAGAGATTGGCGTAGCAGAATGCATGTTATATTTACTCAAAATCTTTTCAACGCACGTAAGAAATCTGATTGAGAATTAACACACGCTTACTCCTATCCCTAACAATGTTGATGCCTAGGATACTCTTGGCATCACCTAGGTCTTTCACCGAGAATAAACATATCATCCATATAGGGCAATAAAAAATACAGGCACAGAAGAAGTATTTTTAAAGTATAGGCAATGGTCGCATTCAGACTTATGAAATTTCAAAAATAACATGCACTAGTCAAATTTGACATTTCACTGCCTAGGGGACTGCTTCTGGACGTACAAGGCCTTCCTGAGCAAACACACATGATCACTCTTCATGGGATCCACAAATCCCTCAGATTGGGGCATATAGATTTTCTTGTCTTAATCACCATGCAAGAAAGCAATGGTGACGTCCATTTGTTTCATTTCCCTATCATTATGACCAACAAGAGCAAACATCATTCTAATCGTAGCAATTTTAACAACAGGAGCAAGGATTTCAGCATAATCGTCACCTTCCTTTTGATCCCTTAGCTACTATCATAGCCTTATATCTAATGTTGTCCCTACGAATCCACAGGTGATGGAATACAGGGATTTATAGATATGTGAGCTTAACGAATATCGAGCAGAATACTCTTTATCGTCTACAAATCGGAGAAAATCCAAATCTAGTCTTGGCGAAACCGGCCACCTCTCAACGGTACAAACTACTAGTTATGAATTTGATCAAAAAGGGAAGTGTCTATCTTGCGGGGATGACAATGCAACGATATGGTATGTTCTTGGATTTTACAGTATGTTTGATCTTTCATTGTTCAAAGTATTCGATCTCCAGATAGATGTTGCTTTAGAAACTAAATGTGGGGTGACTTGAAAGAAAGGTTCGATGAAGGTGATGTCTATAAAGTTTCATACATGTTTGAAGAAATATATACATTGAAGCAAAATATCGAATCTATTATTCCTTATTGCAATTGTGAATCTAAAGGTGCTTGTGAGCGAATATTAGAGTATAGGAAAATATATCATATCCCTTTTATGTATAGTCTGTGAGGGGATATTGCCATTTCACATGCATCTTAAACACTCAAATTAAAGTGCACAGGAAAATATATCAACGGTCCCATCTCATGAGGCGAGAGATCACAGTCACACATGGAGTTCAGTAATATTGTCATTTGTTCTAATTCAGGCTGATATTTAGATAAGATCCTTTTTCCTTTCTGTTTGTTTCTTGTTTTCTAGTTTTTTTCATCTTTCTCTCTTGTACTCTCGGTTTAGTTCTTCATTAATACTAGTAAAACTTTCTTTTTTGAAAAAATGCCACATTTGGGGATCACTGGATCAGTCAATTCAACAAACATTTGGATCACATCCAAGTGTGAATATAATGTATGATAAATTTTTAGTCATAACTTAGATACACATGTTTTAAACAAATATTGAATGAACAGATGTTGTTGCATGTTACATTGCTACCTCCTGAGTTTATTAATACTATATTTGCCATCGAAATTGTGCAATTTCATTCTTACTCAGAATGATATTTGGGGAATGGAGCAACATCTCCGAGATCATTGAAGCCACCCGCATAAAGAAGTAAAGAGTCAAGTCTTAGACTGAAACCCGAGTGCGTTGTATTGCCGTGTTTGCGAAGATCCAAGTACCATTTAAGTTGCTCTTGACGAAGCCCAATTTCTTGTATCCTGAAAACATGTAAAAGTTTAGGCAAAAACACAAGGCGGGTTGACCCTTTTAGCGTTTTCAGTAAGTGAAAACGATGTTTGGACGGAACTTCTGATATGGAAATGGTTTAATAGCAACATTTTGGCTTAGTGTTTTGAAATATGACAATTTTTACGACTACGTATCTGCTAGATATATAGGATCAAATAGCTAAATTACGAAACATTTTTCTGCAACCCGCCAACTTATTCTATTAGTCAAACCCACTCACTGAATCTGTTATTAATAAACCGCTAACCAAAACTGCAACCCGGAATGAGTTTTTCTCACTCCTCTATTAGGCTTACCTGGAAAGAAGAGTATCCAGCCGTTCCTCACTTTGACTGCCGCTTAGTACAAATCCAACCTGAATGGTGTAATTAATTTAATGTCTTAGTATTAATTATTTAATTAATTAACTAATTAATAAAGGAAGATGGTCGAAGCAAAAATAGAAAGGGCACCCCCATTACATGTGGAAATATTATATCAAACGATGCAACTGTGTTTCCATCATCATTGAGGCGCACATGAAAGGGTTTTAGTTGTTTGGGATGATCATACACAATGACTGGCCGTTTATAGACGTTCGTAACTACATTCCTGCAAAAAAATGCATCATTAAAGAAAATACTTCTTCCGTCCCTTAAAACTTTGCCAAGTTTGACCGGCAGGAGAATTAATAAAACAAAAAGTGTGTACAAATGTTTCTCAAAATAGGAGTGAATATATACCGATTTCCCTAAATAGAAGCATTATGTAGTACTGTATGTTTTATTCTTGAAGAGGAGCAAAATGTTTTCAAGAAGACAATACTTACTCAGAAAAATGTGTCAGCTTAATGTTGACACAATTATTACTTACAAAATCTAATATGCAATAGAGGAAAATTACAGAACTAATAATGGACATTGCATAAAATGCGAGACTAAACCTACCATTTTCTCCAATTTCTTATAGATAAATTAAACTGAAGTGTACTAGCTAGCTAGCTGATACCTACATTAGTAAGTCGTCTTCAGAAAGGGCACATCCAAATTCCATAGTGATCCCTAGTTCTTGTTTGATGCTAACCTGTTTACAATATCAATATATAAAACACGTAAAAATGTTTTGAATATAAAAAACAGTAGTTATATCTACACACACATAGGGGATGTTCAAACAAAAAGGAACATTAACGTCTAAAATAAGAATTAATCTCAGTCATCCAATCTGTCAATCTGATGCACGCACAATAACTCGTTCTAATGCATTTTCGAAAAAACATTATCTGATGCACTTTTTGGACGTTATTGTGCGTCAGATTGACAATTTGGACGGTTGTGATTAATTCTTATTTTACGTTAAGACCTTTTTTTATTTGATAGAAATAATGTAATAACAACCGCATTCATATCTTCCAGCAGTTTGCGATAGGAAATTCGCTTGAAGGAAGAGGATGTGACGAGCTGGAGTTCCTCTATAAGCGTTGTGGCGGTTGGTTTTGATAGAAAGCTCACATCCTCAAAGCACTTCTCTAGAATCCATTTGCACATAAACTTCAAAAGGTCTTCTGCATAGTCCATGGCATCCTACGAAATCGGAAAATAAATTAGGATCATTGCCTGTTTCACGAGCTGATTTGGCAAATGACAAAATAACAAGCGAGGTCGGAGCCCGTTTTTGTTTGAGTTGAGAAAATTAGAAGGATATGATGAGTTTGGTGTCGTTTGCCTTTCAGCGTTCTCCCTCAAACACTGCAATTAGCAGCATTTCATGCGTGTTTTGGATAAAACGCTGATATCCAAACGCACCCTTTAACGTTTCTTATCACACTACTCGTTCTAGAGCTTGTCAAGTTTTACGGACACGTAGATAAGAAAGGATCGGAAAGGTTGTATCGTTGAGGTAAATGAAATAAAGAGGAAAATAATTATAAAATTAGTTACTGCGGTACTGTTTCAAGGTTCTCATTTTCTTTTTTTGAGTGTCCATATTAAGTTGATTCCAATTTCAGTAACAAAATAACTCTTAAATGATAGATAATCACATACTCCATATCAATAAAAATTAAAGCATTCACAACAACACTGTTATAATTTGTTACCACCTCAGAGTAACGTTAGGATCTTCAACTTTCCATTTTCAACCGTAATTAAGTAATCCCCCATTTCTAAATCTTCCTATCATATCCTCAATAATTTTGCAAAAAAATACACTATTACATCTACTTTTTTGGATTTATGCTTCATTCCATTACACTATTTCATTATCGTCCTATCATACCCTCTATAAGTAATACCCCTTTCACTATTCATAATCTCGCCCATTTTCAAATTGGTAAGATCCTAACGTTACAGAGGTAGTATCTCATTAAAGATGGAAAGAAATAGGTAGGGTACCTCTGATTGGGAGAAAGCCATTTCTGTCTCAACCTTCCACATCTCCGCTAAAGATTCAATACCTTCAGGTTGATCAGGTCGAAAGAAGGGACCATATGTGTAAACATTTCCCAGGGCGCTTGCTTGACTCTGCAGATGAAAGCGGCCTGAAGAAGTGAGATGCATAAGCTCTGAAAAATAATCTTGAGATTCCATGTTTCCATCTTCTTCTTCTTCTTCTTCTTCTTGATTTCCACTCATCTGTTCTTCACCAGCATCCTCTTTTTCCCACTGATCTTCATTTGGTGCTACAATTACATGGAATTTTTTGTCAGATTCCCCAGTGTCTATGTCGGTAATTATGGGGACTTGAACGTAGAGAAATCCATTGGCTTGGTAGAAGGTGCGTAATGCCGTAAAGGCGGAGTCATGTATACGCATAAGGCTTGCCATCTGCATTGATTATTGGTATCAAAAGATGGAGATTAGCCAAAGTGTCGCTCCCATATCTAAGATCTTATTATGACTCTAAATATATCAAAAATGAATCAAGGTGAATAAAAAATGAGATATAATTTTGGAGTGCTTTTAGGTATTAGAAGTTAAATTTGCTAATAATTGAGCAGTGTGATTTTTTCTTTCATATGTAGTGCTTTTAGGTACAGTATAAGAAGATAAATCGGCTAATAATTGAGCGAAATAATTTTCCCTCTCATATGTAGTGATTTTATTTTATGTATATGAAGATAAACATGCAAATACTTGAGCGGGAGAAATTTCTCTTATCATATCTAGTGTTTTTAGGTATTAGGAGATAAGATTGCTAACAATTAAGCAGGGGAATTGAGCGGGATAAGTTTCTCTCTTATATGTAGTGCTTTTAGGTATTAGAAAATAAACTTTCTAACAATGGAGCGCGAATAATTTTCTCTCTTATAAGTAGTGATTTTAGGTATAAGAAGATGAGCCGGCCGGCTAACAATTGAGCGAGAGAACTTTCTGTCTAATATGTAGTGATTTAAGGTATAACAAGATAAGCTTGCTAATAATTGTGAGGGGGAAATTTATCTATCATGTGTAGGGCTTTTAGGTATTATAAAAGATAAGTTTACTCACAATTGAGGAGGGGAATTGAGCGGAATAACTTTCACTCTCATATGTACTACTTTTAGGTATTAGAAAATAATTTTCGTAACAATTGAGCAGGATAATTTTCTTTCTTATATGTAGTTCATAATTCCCTCTCATATGTTAGCACTATTTTAACTAATGATTAGCAAGTTCTTATTTAACTAACATTCGTTAATATTAATATTTGTTGTATTTACTTAAACTTTATGTCATTCACTTATCGTACTTACTTTTTTAGAATTTTATTTAATTTTAAAATTAATTTAATCATGAAAATTAATAGATAACAATTTCTAATGAGTGGTTTCAATTAATTTTTTCTCATATACTCTTCATTAAATATTTATTGTATGGCTTATACTTTATGATATAATTTATTGTACTATTTCTCTCTCTCTCTCTCTAAAATGTAGAATCCTAAAAAGTTATTTTTGTTTTAATATTTAATTAGATCATGAGTAAAAATATATGCACCAACTATTAATTCTCGTGCGTATGCACGAGTACTATACTAGTTCACATGAAAATTGTGATCATTTTACGGAAACAACATTCATTTTATGTGGGTGCTAATAATGTGTTATGTGTGCAAAATCAAATTATAATGCATTTGCCTACTATTCAGGTGATCTTGATTATTTGTTTATGACTATTTTATAATTTTAATATAATATCATAGTTATTAAGCTCAAACGATCAACTCGAAACAAGTAAGATTCCGGATGTTTTTACAAGGACTTATTTCAGTCCCAGACAAGACTAGATCAGACCACTTCTAACCAAATCATATCAGTTTTGATTTCGACAATTGTATAATACACAAAGACGAAACATTTATCAGATCAAACTGGCTCAGTCGCTCAGACAAGATAAAAAAAATTCATTCCAAATTAAAACATCCTCAAAATTAAAAGAGCACACAAATTTGACTCAAAATTTAAAGAGCACAAAAATTTGGAGATTGATATGTTTCAACCACTGACCTGTGTTGTTCTAGGTCGAAGGTGAGGACAATTCCTCAATACACTCAAAGGCAAGGTCCTCCTTGTTAGTAGATACTCATTTTTGTCAACAATCCCAAGATGCAAAATTTTATTTGCCAAGAGTTCAATATGATGTTTCCCCTCAGTTGATGCCTTCTGCAATATACCCTCTACTACTATGCATGTTCCAGTGGGCATCACTTTGTATGGACTCTCCAGGTTTGAGTCCACCAATACCTAAGATCAAGATACATGCATTGAGCTGGGTTGGTGGTACACATATTTTTTTGAAGGGTTTTAAAACATACGTTTTACACCGATATTTAAAGCGTTTTTAAAATTTAGAGTAGGTCAGGGCCTAGCCTGACCCCGGGCTCTGTCCATGAACTAGCTACCTAGAGTAAAGTTTAAAACTTCCAATATATAGAAATTAAAGATATACCTGAAGATTCTTAACAGAGGAACCGTCGTTCACTTCCAACATTGAATAATATAGTGGCGGGGAGAGATTTTGCATATCAGGATCTGACTTCTCTTTTACCTAAGAAATTAAAAACCCTTGCTGTAAAAACTAATTAAGAAGATAAAATGAGGACAAAATAAAAGTAAATTAAAAGAAATCTGAAAAAAATCCACAACTACCTTCAACTCCTTGGAGGACTTAACCCACCCTCCAATCACTACTCTTTCACCAAAAAGTCCCACTCCACCATCATCCCTTTGGAATATAGTTTTTAAAACTAGCCTGTAAGTATACTTACTGCTAAGGCTAGCCATTGATTCTAATGAACTCATTTTTATGTTTTTATTTTATTATTAAGGAAGACCAGACAGTAATTAATGGTAGGTGAAGGAGTTCCATATGGGTTGTAAATTTGTAATATATATACATGCACATTATAAGTTATAATAAGAATTTAGAGAATGCATATTTACTAGATAGATGCTTTGCTTGAAAAACAAATGGTAGAATTAAAGAAGTTAAAGAATGTGCTTTTAGTAAGTTCAAAGAGGAAGGAAAGGGATTGTTATTAGGTTAGCCATTAGAGTGATAGCTAGAGTTGGGAAAATGGATTTGGTCAAAAGGGGATGGCTATCATTGAAATGAATGGATTTTGGGTCGTACCCAAGAATTCGAAATGGTAAAACTATTCACAAATCCTCGAGTATTATACTTTTATTTATAAATAAGTAACATTTTTATTCTTTATTAGTTTAACAATATAATTTGCTTTGGCATGTTTGATACATTCGATTTTTAATTATTCTTTACTTAACCTTAAAAGATCTGAAAAGCTTTTGCGAAAACTAAGGAAGGAGCGGACGGCGCCTAGGGTAAAAATCCTAGGCTTGAACAGTTTTTTTCCGGCGGCTTCACTTGAGGCTAGTCCGGCAGTTTTTCTAGTCTTTAGCATTACGTAGAGGGTCAACAAATCCGTTTGCGTAGGTTTCACACAATAGCAGAGAAGGCAACACCTAAAACTTGTGAGAATAATGGAACAGGATGCTCTCTAAGAGCCATGGCAGATATATTTATAATAAAGAGAGTTTAATGTAAAGTACAATACTACTGGTATAATAATTCTATTACACCCCCTCAAGCTGTGCGGGAGAAACAACGCGCAGGTTGTCTTTCAAAAAATGAAAACACTGAGTAGGGAGACTCTTAGTAAAAATATATGCCAACCGTAGATGCGTAGGAACATGCTGAACAATCAAATCTCCATAGGCAACACGTTCCCGAACAAAATGATAGTCAATCTGGATGTGTTTACTGCGAGCATGCTGAATAGGATTTGCAGTCAAATAGGAAGCTGAAACATTATCACATAAGAGATGCACAAGGTCCGTGATGGGGTGGCCGAGCTCAAAGAGAATAGATCGGATGTGGAGTGTATCCTGAACTATGTATGCAATAGCACGATACTCTGCCTCTGTGGATTACTTCGATACTGTGGGCTGCTTCTTGGATTTCCAAGAAATAAAATTAGGTCCCAAAAATACACCAAAGCCAATAGTTGACCGTGAGCTATCAGGACATCCAGCCCAGTCGGCATCGGAATAGGCAACAACATATGTGGGTCGTGCAAGTACCTGAAAATTCTTTTGACTGCAAGTAGATGAGTAGAACGAGGGGCATGCATGAACTGAGAGACTAAGTGTACTGCATAAGTAATATCTGGCCTTATCAAAGTTAAATATTGTAACGCACCTACCATCCTGGGATACTCATCTACATGTAACTCACCATCAGAAAGAGATAGAGTAGTACGTGACGCTAGTGGTGTGCGAACGGGCTTAACCGTATGGAGATGAAAACGAGCTAGAAGATCATAGACATATTTGTTTTGAGAAAGAAACAAACTTTTAGGCGTACGGGTCGCCTCGAGACCTAAGAAATAATGAAGATTAATACCCAGATCTTTCATGGCAAAATGATTTGAAATAAGAGAAATAAACTGGGTAATAGTAGACTCAGAATTGCCAGTAATAATAATATCATCTACATATAATAATAAATAAATGATAGAATTATTATGACGATAAATGAATAAAGAATTATCAGATTTACTACAATAAAATTGGTGTTGTAGTAGGAAACTACTAAACCGATGAAACCATGCATGTGGTGCTTGTTTAAGACCATAAATGGCCTTGCGCAAAGGACACATATGATCGATTAGGAAATTGAGGATGAATAAATCCACGGGGCTGACACATGTATACTTCTTCTGTTAGGTAACCATGGAGAAAGGCATTTTTCACATCAAGCTGACGAATAGTCCAACCAAACAAAACAGCTAATGTGAGAACAATACGAACTGTGGTGGGTTTAATGACAGGACTAAAGGTTTCAGAGAAATCAATACCAGCCTATTGATTAAACCCCTGAGTAACTAATCTAGCTTTATGGCGTTCCACGGACCCATCAGAATGATATTTCGTTTTATAAATCCACTTACATCCAACAATATTTTTAGTGTTGTCAAAGGGCACCAGATCCCAAGTCCAATTATTAATTAGTGCATTAAATTCATCTGCCATTGCTTCACGCCATTTTAAATGTTTATTAGCCTCAGTAAAACAAGTGGGATCCGCAGGAATAACAACCGTACTTAAATTGAAAATGGTTGTAGGCTTAAAAATACCCGCTTTGAAACGGGTTTGCATGGGGTGCTGATTAAGCACCGTAGTGGTCTCAACGGAAGTGGGTGGAGGGTGGGATACATCGGGCGCAGGGTTGTCGGTATGGGTTGGTTGGTCTCGGAAGTCTGGAGAGGGTGTCCTATACACAGGCTCCACGGGGGAAGATGATGGAGGTGATCTCCAGGAAGGTGGTGGGGAGCATGTGGAGTGAGTAGAGCGTGGTGACGGGACCGGACTGTAGCGGGAAGGGGGCTGATCGGCAGACGAAGGAATGGATGAACCTGGGAGCTGTGGCCGAATGTGAGAGGCTGGGGAAAGTGGGGTAGGGGTGTCGGTTGAGGCATCGGTAAGGTGCATGGGAAACGGGGTTGGTGCAGATGAAGGAGATGAACTAGTTTGGTGAAGTGTTTGAAAGGGGTAAGTATCTTCATGAAACCTAACATGACGACTGACATAAACACGGCCTGTAGTAGGATCCAAGCAACGATAACCCTTATAACCCGGTGCATAGCCAAGAAAAACACATTGAGCAGACCGCGGGGAAAGTTTATTAGCTGAAGAGGCTGAAAATTTGGATAACAAGCGGAACCAAAAACATGCATAAATGAATAGTCAGGGACACGGTGAAAAAGTTTTTGATACGGAGAAAGTCCATGTAATGTAGGAGAGGGTAATCTGTTAATAATGTATGCAACCGTAAAGATAGCATCAACCCAATATTGACTCGGAATAAAGGCTTCAAAAAGCATAGTCCGAGTTAATTCAACAAGATTTTTGAAAATAAATTCCATTAGCTGAGAAAAATTGCTGCATATTATTATTAACAAATTCACCACCCCCATCACTTTGAAATTTTTTTATTTTCTGATTACAAAGATTTTCAACCAAGGCTTTAAAATATTTAAAGTGCATGAAAACTTCACTCTTGTGACGCATGGGAAAAATCGAAGTATAGCGCGAAAAATCATCAATAAAGCAGACATAACACTTGAATCCCAAATTAGAACAAATTGGAGATTGCCATACATCAGAATGAATAATTTGTAAAGGAGAAGAAGAATTATGACTAGCAGGTGTAAACAGCAATCGTTGGGATTTGCCTAACCAACAAGCAACACACTCATGAGTAAAATGAGAATGACTACATAAAAGTTGTTTACGTTTAAGAAACTGTAAAATATGATCGCCACAGTGTCCTAATCTACGGTGCCACATAGGCCAGAAGCTAAAACAGAAGCTAAAACTAAGGATGGTGATGATGGCAGACTGATAGGATAGAGTGGCCCACTACTGGTAGCTCACATAAGCACCGCCCCCGAGGCTTTGTGCTTAATCAAAAAAGAATTTTTATCAAAAATGACAATACAGTTATTATCTGCGTAAAGCCTTTTAATAGAAATTAAATTATATTTTAACTGAGGCACATGATAAACAGATTTTAATGTGAGAGAACGACCAGAAGAAGGTAATGCAACGTCACCAATATTACGAATGGGTAAATGGGCACCATTAGCAACACTAACAGAATTGTAGCCGTTGTAAGTAGATTTATTTTGTAAAATACCTTCAGATGCAGTCATGTGAGCAGATGCCCCCGAATCAGGATACCACACCGCGGAATTAGATTCCCCAGGAGTAGTCAATAGAGCAGGTGTGGAAGGTTGAGTGAATCGTGAGGGACAAGTAACGGTAGAATGACCTACAGAGAAGCAAATTTGACACACAACAGGATGGGGAACAGAACCAAGAATACTTCCTTCTGATGGTAAGCCTGCAGAACTAGAATTAGTACCACTAACATATAATGCATTAATATTTAAGTGTGACAAAGCAGAATTACAAATAACAGTACTCGTAGTCGGGACACCCCCTGCGTGCGGAGCAAATCCGGATGGAGCACCCCCCTGTTGTGGCTGCCAATACGCAGGCTGCCCCTGCTGACCATAATACGCCGCCTGTTGTCCCCAGCCACGACCGCGGCCCCCGCGGCCCCTACTGCGACCTCAACCTCGACCTCGGCCGCGATACGAACCTGGAGCCCGCTGCTGCTGTACACCCGACGATTGAGAGCCCTGCTGCGGCTGAGTTCCTGGTGCTGTAGGTTGTTGTCCAGCAGTGTGTACACCGAAGGCCTGATGCATAGAGGAGGACTCCTGGGAGCGAAGGTAGATAACCCGCGGCTCTAGCTCAAGAAGATGATTGCGTGATGTCTCAAAGGGGAAATTTTGAGGGAACAACGATACTGTGGTGAACAAAGATTCATACTCGAGTCCCAACCCCATTATAGTAGTCTTGAGCACTTCACGAGGAGTTACAGGGAAATTAATAGTAGCCAGATCATCAACCAAAATTTTAATCTCCCGTAAATAATTGTCCATAGACTGATCAGGTTTCTTTTTAATTTGAGAAAATAAGCGCTTTAATTCCATAGATCGATCTAGCCTAACTGGATGACATAAATCTAGATTCTAACCGTTCCCAAAATTCACAAGAATGTTTTAAATCCGGAACATCAATAAGAACATCACGAGAAAGAGTGGCAAATAACCATGAACGAATGGTCTGATCAATTCGTAACAGGAGGTACCTGAATGGAGCCATCGACCATGCCCAAAAGACTTTGCGAAACCAAGAATGACTCAAACTGAGTTCGCCACGTAGTATAATCTTTCACAGCCAAAAGTTTGGTAGAAACAATATTTGTAACGTTGGT